TAGAAAAAGAACAACAAAAAAAACCCTAAAGCCAGTAGAAAAAAGGAAATAATAAAAATCAAAGCAGTAATTAGTTAATTGGAAATTAAAAAAAAATCCAAAAGATCAATGAAACCAAAAGCTGTTTTTTTGAAAAAATAAACAAAATAGACAAACCTCTAGCCAGGCTCACAAAGAAAAAATGGGAGAAAACTCATATAAACAGGATTATAAATAAAAGAGGAGAAATCACAACAGACGTAGTAGAAATCAAAAGAATAATCAGAGATTACTATGAACACTTATATAGAAACAAATTCAACAACCTAGAAGAGATGAACAAATTCCTAGAACAATTTAATCATCCAAAGCTGGTCAAAGAAGAAATAGAACAACTAAACAGACCAATTATAAGCAACGAAATTGAGGCAGTAGTCAAAGCACTCCCCAAAAACAAAAGCCCAGGCCCAGACGGCTTCACAAATGAATTCTACCAAACGTTCAGCAGTGAATTAGTGCCTATCCTACACAAACTCTTCAAAAAATTGAAAAAGAAGGAATACTACCAAATACGTTCTATGAAGCCAACATTACACTAATACCAAAACCAAACAAAGACAGCACAAAAAAAGAAAATTAGAGACCAATTTCCACTGATGCAAAAATCCTCAACAAAATCCTTGCCAACAGAATCCAAGAATGCATCAAAGGGATAGTACACCACGATCAAGTGGGATTCATCCCAGCGGCACAAGGATGATTCAACATACGAAAATTGGTAAGTGTAATCCAACACATCAACAAAAAGAAAAACAAAAACCATATGATCATATCAATAGATGCTGAGAAAACATTTGACAAAGTCCAACATCCATTTATGATGAAGGCCCTGGAAATTCTCGGGATAGAATGAACAATCCTTAACATGGTAAAAGCCGTATACGACAAACCCACTGCCAACATTATTCTCAATGGTGAAAAGCTGAAGGCCTTTCGTTTAAGATCAGGAACAAGACAAGGTTGTCCTCCCTCACCACTATTCTTCAATATAATACTGGAGATCCTAGCTAGGGCAATAAGACAAGAGAAAGACATACAAGGAATCCAGATAGGGAAAGAAGCAGTAAAACTATCGCTATTTGCAGACAATATGATAATATACATAGAGAACCCTAAAAACTCCACAGAAAAACTACTCAAAATAATCAACCAGTTCAGTAAAGTAGCAGGATACAAAATCAACACACAAAAATCAGTAGCCTTCCTATACACAGTCAATCGGAAGAAGAAATAAAAAAAAAAAATCCCTTTTATAATTGAAACCAAAAAAAAAATAAAATACTTGGGAATAAACCTAGCAAAAGAGGTGAAAGACCTATACAAAGAAAATTATAAAACACTGTTAAAAGAAGAAGACACAAAGAAATGGAAGGCCCTCCCCTGCTCATGGATTGGAAGAATCAACATTATTAAACTGGCCATCCTCCGGGCCTCCCCGCGGACGTAGCAGTTGAGTGCTGGGTTACGAAGCTGCCCGCAGCCTCTGCATCACCGGTTCGATCCCCGGCTGCTCCCCGGCCACTGGAGGAGGGTCCCACATGGTGCGCAGACCTCACCTGCCACCCGATGCTCCCCTCAGCAGTGTACTTCGGTCCTTCTGCCTGCTCTGCTCCCAGCTCTGGCTCTGATGAATTCTCTCACTCTCCCGCGCTTCTGACTGTACCCAGTGCTTGTATAAATAAATAAATAAATAATTCTTTTTAAAAATAAATAAATAAAATAAAATGGCCATCCTCCCAAAAGCAATATACAGATTCAATGCCATTCCAATAAAAATCCCAATGACATTCTTCAAAGAAATAGAACAAATACCGATGAAATTCATATGGAACCACAAAAAACCACGAATAGCTAATACTGATGAAAACAAAGGAGAAAGGAGGTATCTCACTTCCAAACTTCAAGCTATACTACAAAGCCATAATAATTAAAACAGTTTGGTATTGGAACAAAAACAGACACACAGACCAATGGAACCAAATGGAGAGCCTAGAAATAAAGCCACACTAAATATGAACAACTAATCTTTGACAAAGAAGCAAAGAATATGCAATGGAACACGGACAGTTTGTTCAATAAATGGTGCTGGGAAAACTGGACCTCCACATGCAAAAAAATGAAACTAGACCACTACCTCTCACCTTGCACAAAAATCAACTCAAAATGGATAAAAGAACTGGACATAAGACCTGAAACCATAAAATATATAGAAGAAAATATAGGTAAAACACTACAAGACATACATCTCAAAAACATCTTTAAAGACTCATCACCCAAAGCAGTGATAGTGAAGGCAAAGACAAACACCTGGGATTACATCAAACTGAAAAGCTTCCGCACAGCAAAAGAGACATTTACCAAAACAGAGAGACACCCCACTGATTGGGAAAAAATCTTTGCACTCCATCCAACTGATATCATTGTATATCACAATGATATACAAAGAACTCACATGGCTCAACAAAAACAAAATAAATAATACAGTCAAGAAATGGGCAGAAGAACTCAAAAGACATTTCTCCAAAGAGGAAATGCAACTGGCCAACAGGCATATGAAAAAGTGTTCAACATCCTTTATAATCAGGGAAATACAAATCAAAACCACACTGAGATACCACCTTATACCAGTAAGAATGGCACATATCAAAAAAACAAACAACAACAAATGTTGGCGAGGATGCGGCAAAAAAGGAACTCTCCTACACTGCTGGTGGGAGTGCAAACTGGTCCAACCATTGTGGAAAACTATCTGGAGGTTCCTCAGTCTACTAAAAATGGAGCTACCATACAATCCGGCAATTCCACTCCTAGGAATCTATCCAAAGGACACAAAAACTGATTCAAAAGAGCACCTGTACACCTATGTTTATTGCAGCACTATTTACAATAGGTAAAACCTTGAAACAACCCAAATGTCCAAAAATAGATGACAGGATCAAGAAAATATATATATGTATATATATATATATACACACATATATATATATATATATATATATATACACACAATGGAATATTATTCAGCAATCAAAAAGACAAACTCATAGCATTCGCAGCAACATGGATGGAGCTAGAAGGAATGATGCTCAGTGAAATAAGCCAGAAGGAAAAAGAAAAATATTGGATGGTTTCACTTATAACAGGAATATAGGGGAACCAATATATTGGTTTTTTGGGAACCAATATATTGATGTCTTATACATCAGTGTAAAAATAATAATAATAATAACAGTACAAAACACAACAAAGCAAAAACAGACAATTATAAACCAGAGACATTCTGTAGGGAAAGAGGAAGGAGAGAGTGAGAGGGAGGAGCACCGGGGACTGTGGTGATGATGCATGGGTGCCTTGGGGAAGGAGATTCTATGGGGACTCAATCTGAGGGCGTGGGGGGAAGCAAATATTGTCTAAAAAAATGTAAAAAATGATAAATGTTAAAATAAAAAAAATGAAAAAAAAAAGTATTTCAAACATGTATTTCAAACAGCGACCACACAGACTAAATAGTGGGAAAATTTTAAATCACATTAAGAACTACAGAATAGTATTCCAGTCTATAAAAAAGAGTTTTTTTGCCCCCAAATACTGTCTCACACTTTCATTTTTTTCTCTCTCACCTAATAAACTGCCGATATCATTTCAAAATAAAAAGGCATTACCCAAAGTGGTAATTCTGAAATTTAAAAGCTATCGATTTTCCCAACAATAGCTAAGTCTTCTCCTATAAGCCCATGGGGTTGGACTATTTACTATTGCCTTTTGGTTTTCAAAGGCACTTAAATCCTCTAGCTCGAAGAGTGGAGGGCTCCACTGGGAACAAGGGTCCTATATGACCAAATGCCACCTGGTACACACTCAATGAGCCCTAACCCAGACTCACACATTTAAAGACTTAAAACAAACCCTATTTATGTAAAATTACAAATCTACTCTAAAATCCCTACTATAAAAATGTTTCCTAGCTGTTACAACAGAGAAATAAATATAATTCCTAATTAAAATTTGCAACCTCTCACAGATTTTTCTCATAATCAAAAGAACTCCATGGCATGGCATGTCCCTGGTCTGAGTAAACAGTGGGGGTGCTCTGTGATCTGCAAAGGCTGATGGGAATGTACCAAAAACATGGCAAGAAAGACTCCCAGCAGAACCTGGAGGCCAGGAGAGGGAGGGAGAAGCTGAAACTGAACCCCTGCCATCTCCCTGTATAGAAAGGGTGGAAAGGATGGCAAGGCCAGGTTGTCTCCGAAACTTTATTTTTTTTAAAGATTTATTTTATTTATTTTTGTGTAGAAGAACTGGGGTGTAGGCCAGAGTGGGGAGCAGAATAGGCAGATGTACTGAAATACACTGCTGAGGGGAGCTGTGGCAGGACAGGAGGGGTCTGCTGTGCCTTGTGGGTCAGCTCCCTGCCAGGGATGGACTCAGGCTGCAGCGGTGACAGCCTGAGACCAACTCCAAAGCCCCCAGGAAGGCCCCCACTCTCTGAAACTTGAAAAGTGCTCTCTCGGTGGCTCTGCAAGGTACTGAGTGTGGCCTGGCCTCTGATACTGCGGAGAGCAAGTATTCTGCATTGGGCCCCAGGGAGCCTGAGGCCAAGAGCACTTGGTATGTTCCCTGGCTTTACACTAGAAAGGAAGCAAATTCTGCAAAGAGTTCAGATGACGCTGCAATCGACTGCCAGACCAAGATTTATTGAAGGAACAGACGTGAACCGCGCTGGCTGGACGTAACAGATCAAAGAAAGCACATGACTCATCCTCCCTGAGGGACACTGCGGTTGGCGAGGAACACCACCCCTCCCTCAGCCTCTCACCTCTGGGGAGGGCTGGCTTCCCAGAAGAGACTGGGAAGAGACAGAAGAGACTGAAAAGGTAGCTGGGTCGACCACAGATTGATAAACCCGCGTATGTGATGCACCAAGGCAGTCGGCCACAGAGGGAGACCTCGATACTCACAGAATGGTCGTGGGATGGCTCCAGTGTCACTGGCAGCGACATCTTCCCTTGAAGGTTCAGTTTCGTTAAGTAGAAGATCTTCTCCCCGACGATCTTCTCCTTCTTCATGCGGTGTACGCCGTACAGCCGGAAGCGCACTGCATAATTCCCAATCATCTCGGACTCCACGTGGTTGAACTTGAAGGTCTCCGTGAAGACGGGGCAGGGGCCTCGCTGGATGCTGGTTTTCGCTCGCTGCTTCTTTATGGGCAGCAGGACCAGGTGCACCTGCCACGAGTTGCCGCCTGTCCTATTATGCGTGGGGATGTCGGTCACAGCCGTCACCGTCACTAGCAGCTTCTGCTCTTGGGGGTCGTAGTCAAACGTTACATCCAGCGTGCCGTGCTTGGCCTCGGGCTCGGGGTCAAAGTGTTTAGGCAGCTGTGATGACGACTCTTGAGCCGGCATGTCCTGAAAAAGCAGATTTCAATGTTTTCAGTTAACATTTTTATGTGACTGGGTCCAGGCACAAGTGCGTGAAAACCGTTTTTGACTCGGTGAGATAAATAACCCCAACCCAAGGCTGCTCGTCAGAGCCAAGGGGGAGAAACAGTACGTCACACTCAAAAATGTGCTCTGAGAAGTAGAGGAGAAAAGTGCGCACTCAGAACTCAACCCTCACCGAGGGATTCGGAGAAGTTGGATAAACGCTTTTATCATGAAAATGGAAAAGATACACTTTGCTGTTCCTTTTATAGGAAATGACTAAATGTTACCTGCAACATTATAAAGAA